TAAATTGGCTTTTAAGGTAGGGGCAAATTTTAACATAGTGCGTTTTGTTTTTTTCTTTTTCATAATTTTTTTTGCTGTCGTGCGTTTTTTTACCAAGTTGAATCTTACATGTCTCATGATTGGCCATTTATGGTAATAGTCAGGCGATTAATTCACGTGAGACGTAGCCCTAGATATACCTCCATTACAAACGTAATCAGCAATTCCACGTCTCAATATCTCCAGTGTGCAAGGTCGGATATTTAAAAATTTACATCGAGAATGGCAGATTCATATCAAGTCCTAGCTATTTGCATGTTACTGGTGGCAATCAGCTGTGTTTCGCGCGCGCGTGATTGTATCCCTGTGCACGGATATGAGAGTTGCGCGTGCTATTTTCCAGCAGTTAATGACACAAGGGAATATGTCAACCTTCTACCATTGAAGACAAATTCGTCTTCTCCAAGGTATGTCTTGTGCTCGTTGTGTAAAGTTGGGATTCACTTTTCCTGACTGAAACACTTCAGAACACCTTTGTTTACGTAAACTTTCGAAGAAACTTCGCAACTTGTGGCAACGTAGATTTAATCTCATTGATTGAAGCTCTCTCTGGAGAATCATTTCTTAACTGAAAGTATTGTAAGCGAACTGAACGCAAGGTTTACGCACAGCCCCAAATTTTATTATGCACGCAATTCTTGGAAAACAATAACGACAACGGTAGAGTGATTACGACTCTCTTGAAATCTTATAGAATTGAATAAACTTATTTCTAGATCGTACAAGCTTTTTCTCCAACATCAGCCGTTCTTTGTGGAGAAGAATGAGCTTGATGTAACAGAAATACATTATGTCGATTGCTAGGGAATTATTACTGCTCGTGTTTATTAACTTAACCAACGGAGTCGTAATCAATTATTTAAATTCTACAGCTACGGTACTTGATTGAGTTTTAGTTGTACATGCGTTATTGACCAAGCGTGAGATCTGGTCGCTGGAACAGTTACATTAGTTAGGATGTACAATTGTTCGTGCAGTATTTGCACAAATTCACGGCTTGCATGCATTTACTTGCAAGTCAAACACTGTTTGTAAGTCATAATTAGCCATCTGTGACCAATAGGCTTAGTCAATACAGTGTTTATTGTGTCGTCAAAATATTTAAAGAAGAAACTTTGATCTTAAAAATGGGAAATACCAAGAAGTAGTGTACTGAAAGTGGAAGTATCG